AGGGTTATAGTGCAAATTTTGTACCCAACACATGACCTGCACTGTTTAAACAAAAGGGAATTCTATTATGAGTTGAACACAATACACAATTGAAAAAAGAACACTTTATGAGACTTACACGGTAAAACAACTGCTCCTCCACTCTTCTTGATGTAGCATGGTTCAAGTAAATATGTGTCAATGATGAGATAGAGAACACTCCATTTGGTATGGTAGGCAAGAAAATAAAGAATAAGATTATAGTTTCTTATCTAGGTAAGAAAAGTGATAAAATATCTCTTTCTCTATTTATGTTCTTTTCTCACCAAACCCTTAAATCCAAAGAAGCCAATAATCATATTGACCCTTAAGCCCAAAAATCACTTCAAAGATTCTTAAAATAGAAAGCAGAATGACCATTTGCTCCTTATTACTAGAAGAGAAAATGATAGTATCATATGCGAACTATAAATAAGATGCAAAAACATCCTTCCTAATAACAAAAACCATCAACCTAGCCAAGCTCCGTACCTTTATCCACTAATCAACCCACAACATCAACCATCAAAGTGAACAAGAAAGGAGACATTGGGTTTGTGAAGCGAAGTCTTACATCGCCTGAGTACTAAAGTAATGTTAAGCATATATACGCAAGGGCACCCTCACCTTAATAGCTAGCTTTTGGGGTTGAGTTCTACCCAAGACCGTGTAACATGGTATGAGAGTCGAAGTATTTAGGAATGGGTAGGATGCATGTCCCTGGCCTACACATCGCAGGTGTTGCTGAGTGAGCACATTAACCATGAGGGAGGGTGTGAACTGAAGTCCCACATCGTTTGAGTACTAAAGTAATGTTAATCATATAAACTTGAGGGCACCCTCACCTTAATAGCTAGCTTTTGGCGTTAAGTTCCACCTAAGACCATGTACCAGGGTCACCTTACCTAAACCCCTAGTAGCCTTGAAACACTCACCCACCTTGCTATTAACAATAACAAAGAAATTATATGATAACAAAAAGCCTCGAATACACTTCCTCCACCTATCTCTAAACCTTTTTATTGCATTAACAAAACTCAAAAGGCCCCAATCTACGTAATCATATGCTTTTTCAAAATCAACCTCAAAGATAACTCATTCCTTATTTGTACTCCTATAATCCTCTGCCGCCTTATTTGAGGATGAAAGCACCTTGAGAAGAAGAAATCGCATCACTAAAAACTGCCCTCAACCTTCTAGAAAAAAACCTTTACTGGTAGTTAATAAAATGAAGTGACTAAACTAATCAGCCTAAAATTACTGAACTCCAAGGAGTTCTCCCTCTTGGGGACCAAACAAATACATGTTTCATTAGTACTAGTATCCACAAGTCCATCATCAAATAATTCAACAAATAGCTTCGCCAAATCTTGTTAACTACCCCCCAACCAGTGTTTTAAAAAAAAAACACTTAGGCGCGTGCCTAAGCTAGAGGCACAGTGAGGCGCAACCCTGTGCCTCAAACAAGTCAAGGCGAGGTGAGGAGAGGAATGGAAGGCGCACGAAAGGCACTGAGGTGAAGGTTTTATTCTAAGGCGCAAGGCGTGGGCTTATGCGCCTCATATATTTTTTTACTCCAATTGTTGATTAAGTGATTTTTTTTTTTGTGTGCATTTCCAGAGGGAATTAAAACCCTTCAATATAAAAGGCCAAACGTGATCAGAAAGTGATAAAAAAAATCCTAGGTGGAGATTGATTAAAAAAATCGATTGGCATTGCGTGAAAAGAGAAAGATCGGCATTCGTCTTCTTCAGGTTCTTTTCTTCTTTGGGTTCTCCTTCTTCTTTGTTGTGTTATCCTTCTTCTTTGTTGGTCTTGGTTCTCTCTTTACCTCTTTTTTCTTTCTTTTTCTACTCCAACAACTGTTCCCCCCTTCTTTCGCTGGGTTGTCCTTTCTTTTTTTCTTTTTTTTTTAATGGCACTGGGGTGTCCATATCAAAGCCAACTAATCCTTAGGGTTGCATAGGCCCTCAGCATTGTCCTTCTTGTTCATTGATCCTGGTCCTCAATTTGCCTCTTTTTTCCATTCTTTATTTTTATGCTTGAGCATGCAAGAAAGGTTGCTTTAAAGGTGGCTTTTTATTAACTTTTGTTCTTTTGTTGGATATTATATTTGTGATTTTTAGAAGATTGAATGTTATGTTTAAAGATTATTTGCCCATTTTAAAATGTTATGTTCATGTTGAAACTTTGTCTATTTTAAAATTTTGATTATATTCTACAACTTGTGCCTCACTTTGGTGAGGCATGTGCCTCACCTCACTCTTAGGCTATAGGAGACCTTATCACCTCAGTGCGCCTAGAGCTTTTAAAAACACTGCTCCCAACAATCATGAAATACAACCATAGAGAATCTGTGAGGCCCTGGAGACTTGTCCCTCTCAACTCAAAAAATGCTGCTATAATTTTCTTCTCATCAAAAGGCCTTTCCAGCCAACGGGATTTACTATCATCAATGGGAGATAAACCTAAACATTCAATTCCCTAGCCTAATAATGCCACACAAAGAATACAACCAAGAATAAAATGAAAAAGCTCATAAATGATTTGATACTCCCTTTCTATGGAAGTCCATAATCATTTTCTAATCTTTTAATAAACTTTTTCCTTCTCCCATTTAGAACCTTATGATTTTATTTTATTTTATTTTTTTGAATTATTGTCCCCATCCAGCCACTTTATCATTGTCTTTTGATATTTAAATCCATCCACTAAGTTCTATTACATTGCAGATCTAGATCCTTGTATCATGTATCCAAATTTGTCACAAGAAAACAATAAGATGAGGCTTCTCAATAGCATCATTCAAAGAGAAAAAACATATACGTTTATCTCACTTATCAAGAACTTAGAGAGTGAGTGTAAAAATTAGAACTGAGTCACCAATCTACATGACACGTATTCATCACAATCATAAGTTGAAAACAACCAAATTATTGGGAAACTTAGATCAATCCATGCAATGATTATGAGGCACTCACTTCTATGTTCCCTTTCCTTATAATGAACTCCTTAAACAGTGCACTACGGGGATTCAAGAATCTCAAAATATAATACCTACAAGCAAGGTTTTGAAAAGCGGTTGCGGTTGCGGTTGCGGTTGCGGTTGCGGTTGCCGAAACACACAACAAGAAAAAGCACCTTTTGGCGACTAAATTTTTAGTCGCCAAAAGTCCATTTTTAGTCGCCAAAAGTCTACTTTTTAGTTCCCCCGACTAAATTTTTTAGTCGTCGGTTTTGTTGCGAAAACATGGTCGCCGGAGGTATTGGCGACTAAAACTTTTTTTGTCGGCAAAAAACAGGTCTTTAGCGACCAAAGTTTTGGTCGCCAATAGTGAATTACACTTTTTAAAATTATACATTTAGTGACTAATCTTTTAGTCACCAATAGTCAATGAATTGCTGACCAAACCGTTTAGTCGCCAAAAGAAACACTTTTGGCGACCAATAATTTTAGTCGCCAAAGGTTATTTCGTGAAAAAAAAAAATTTAACTTTTCTGGTTTTTTTGAGATTCGAACCACCAACCTCCCACATTCTAAACCTTTAGCGCAACACACTCTCTCCACTATGCCACTACAACACCACATGGATATATATGCAACATATATTATTTATATAGTATATTGACCCGTATTAGTATAAAACTATATATATAAACATAATTATTTTTATTCAATATAATTTATGTAAAAAATAAATTATTTACTAAAAAAAAATAAGACCACTTTTGGCGACTAAATCTGTTTTTTGGTCGCCAATTCTATAGTTTTGGCTACTAATTAAATTTTAGTCGCTAAAAAAATTCATTCCCGCCTAAGAATAACCACTTTTGGTGACTAAACTTATTTTTAGTCTCCAAAACCTCCACTTTTGGCGACTAAAGTGAATTTTAGTCGCCAATTGTACACTTTTAGCTACTAAATTTTTTTTAGTAGCCAAAAACTTTCACTTTTGGCTACAAAATTTATTTTTGTTGGTAAAACACGTATAATCGGCGACCATACTATTTTTTAGTCGCCAAAACCTATACTTTTGGCTACTAAATGTTTTTAGTCGCCAAAAACATTCACTTTTGGCTACTAAAATTTTTTTAGTCGCTAAAACCCATAAAATCGGCGACTAAACTGATTTTTAGTCGCCAATAATTATACATTTGGCTACTAAACTGTTTTAGTCGCCAAAAGTCTTCACTTTTGGCTACTAATTCCATTTTAGTAAATTCTGCTACTTTCAGCGAAGAAAATTCTATTTTTAGTCGCCAATTCTGCTTTTTCTTGTAGTGACGGTTGCGGTGGTGCGGTTGCGGTTGCGGTTGCGGTTGCGGTTGCGGGGTGTAAAGACCGTAGTGTAACGGTTGCGGTAATCGGAACCGTGAATTTTTTTATTTTTCGCACAATTTGCAAAAAAATTTACCGATACACATATTTTTTTCCCATGATTATATTATTGGGTTTAAAATAAATATTAATCAATTTTTGTAAATTTTTAAGTATGATCCAATATATTTCATATTTTTAAATCACTATAAATTGAGTTTTTACATTTTATTTCAATAATTAATGACTTTATATTATACAAAAAATCAATCAATAACTATTATATATAAGATAAACAATGTCAAAAGTAAGAGAATAAATAAGAGTCTAAATATAGATATACATATTTTAATCAAGCCAAATAGATAATGACCACAATTATTATTATTATTATTATTATTATTATTATTATTATTATTATCATCATCAAACAATATGTAGATAAACACACAAAAACAAAATGGTTGAATGATAGTAGCTGAATATAATAGCATAGGTCTTACAGCTTCAACAAATCAATAACATGTTCTTTATCTTCCCTCTTCTCTCTCTCTCTTGCTCTTCCATCTTCTCTCTTTATCTTCCCTCTTTTCTCTATCCCTCTTCCTTCATTTTTAGCTTTTCTTTTTCTTTTATTTTTCTTTTTTTTTTTGTGTGTGTTTTTTTCGAAAGAAGCAGTTCAAAACCGTTATGTAACGATGTGTAACAGGCCGTTACGGCTATTACGGTACCGTTACGACCGCTATGGCAGTCGCTACTGCCGACACACCTGTGAATCTTAATCACACTGCAAAAGTGGCCGTAACGGATGGCGGTAACCATCGCAACCGTTACGTAACGGTTGTAGCCACTTTTTAAAATCTTACCTACAAGAGAGAAGAAAATAGCCAAACATGGAGCAATCAACTCCACAGTAGAATACCCGTAAAGCATCAGTGTACCCATCGGTGAAGTTTCCACACAAGAAGAGAAATTTAAATGCCCCCCCAGAGTCTTTCCCCTTTGCATATTTGATTAGCAGAGGTCCTATGTCATGCATTGCCATCGCATAGTCCCAAGATAGCTCACTGTAAAAGAAAGAACTTCCAACAACTAGAACCAGCATATCATCTTTATTGAACCCATTGTCCATCCTTAACTGAATTTTGTAGTGGGTTATACTGTAGCTTTCTGCATTCGACACATCTATTGGTGATCCAGGAATCACAAAGAAGTTTCCAGTGTCAAGCACACTATATAACATCTGAGACAGGAATAATAATTGAGCAACAATAGAATGCCTAATACAACAATAGAAAGATTGGTTACTGCTAATTAACAAAAGAAGGGTGCTGGAATGACTGATTTACCGGTAGAGAAAAATCTGGAAAAACAATAACATCAGCTTGGCTAAAAGCATATTCCCACCAAGAAATAAGATGTTCCCAGCCCATGTCCATGTACACTGGAAGGCAATTTGCGAGGGTATCTTGTTGAATTATCCATATAAGTGGTACAAAATAAAAAGGTTCCTGCACAAGGCAACATAATATAAAACTCACTACTTCAAGTATCTCAAACTGAAGCAATTAAATATAAGGTTCTTCATCCTTGTCACTCAAAAACAAGCACTCAAGATGAACGACCCACAAGCCACATTATTTTGGCTTATTTGGTAATTCCAATCATATCATACCGTATATTCACCTATCAACCCACTTAAGATGAGCAACGGAGTCAAATAAAATTAAGGCTTTATTAAAGCACAAAAAGATGTTTTCTTTTTTCTTTATCATGATTTAGATCATTCCATTTTCCTATGTTCTGTAATAGATAATTTACTTTTAAGCAGCATCAAAATATCCACAGTGAAATTAAATTTTCAGTTCCATCATTTAACTTCTTTTTCCTGATATTCTAGTTTTCTATCCATTAAAAGGTGTGTTCTTCACCAAACATGTTGGACTATAAAATCTTTTAAGAGTTTCCAAACAATTAAATATGTAATATGCAAGGCCAACTCAAACAGTAGTGTCCATCAAAATTATGTCAATGAGTACAGCCCTACCTTAAAATGGCATCTTTTGCTTCAAATCTACAAAAAAATAGACAAATCGTGAACTATGTACAGTAACAAAAATTAACAAGCAAGTAACAGATGTCACCAAAAGACTTACCAAAAAAACATAAAATACTCCACAAAGTACAAAGTAACCCTCTAGTATCAAATGGAAGACATACATTGACCAATCAATATGGCCATATCTCTCAGGACTTGGGATTGAGATTTGGCCTCCTATTTTCTTCCACATAGATTGTGCTTTACCATTCTCCGCTGCATAAATCTGTCAAAGAAGCAATGTAAGGATGTGTAAGCGTACAAGAATCTTGGTTCTAGAAAAATTTGAATGAATCCCACTTAATATATAAATAAGTGATAATCTAAAAGCACTCCTCACTTAATATATCTTTACCTATAAAAGAAAGCAACATTTGCTCTTACCATCCCCCCCTCCACACACACACAAAAAGTACAAAAGTTTCACAGAAAATAACCTTAAGCATGTATCCAAGTTCCTGTATATTCTTCACCACAGTAGACAGCATCAATGACAATCAATCTTTGTTCATGTTTCCTAAGATCTATCATTCATCAAAATAAAAACATTATTCAGGAGACGGTCACTTCAATGCACCAATATAACAAATAAGACATTTCTTCAAATATGCCATGTTTCTTAATGATGATAAAACAATTAAGCAAAGATATACTAATCTATAGAGATTATATCAACAACAACTGCAATAGTAAAAAAACAACTTACGATTTCCTAAGAGTATCTGCAATGTTAAATGCCAATTTTGGATTATACTAGAGTCCAAAAATGTCCAAATTTGGCAATCTCACTCCAATGCTTGTGTGTTTTTAGTACAACCGTCATTTCACCTTTCCAACCATTGTGGGATCTCTATAAAATACAATGTCAAAATTTGGCAATTTGCCAAAACTTGAGCCAAATTCAGCACCAAGGATAACAATACCAAAATTTGGCAACTTCCATGGCAGCTTCATTGAAGCACCTAGATGCTATAGTATAGCTATGGTAGCTCAAAAAACAGCCCATTAGAGCTGCTTTTGGGAGTGATTATTGATGATATTAAAGTTTTTGTGATATTTATTGAAAATAATTTAGGAAATTGTAACAGAATAAATACTTTATCACTAATAGCAATTACAAAAAAAAAAAAAAAAAAATTTAACACAGAAAGGTTTAATAAAGCATGTAAGGTGGTTGAGGCATGCGAAACCGCATTCTCTTTAGTGTTCCTTCCCCAAGATACAACAACCTTTAAGTCTGCTTTTGTGTCGCAAAGAGAAACTCACGAACTGAGTTGCCCACTGATCAAATATGTATCAAATTATTATTAGGTACAAAGAAATTAACAAGCAAAGAATGATATTTGATTATATTATATGTGAATGTAAATTATCAAATTTTGAATGATGGAAACGGAGGATGGAAACGGAGGATGAAAACCGGTGGTGAAACAAAGAAACCGAGTGATTGGCATGATGCATGGAGGTAGGGACAGATGGATCACAGTTTTGTGGATAACTTACCCGAATCCATTGATCCAAAAGGCCTTTTCAGTTTGTTCAATAATTTTGGAGTTGTAAGGGATGTCTTTATTCCGAACAAAAGGCGAAGGATTTCCAGTACAAGGTTTGGTTTTGTGAGGTATGACTGCAAAGTAGCTGCAAATGTGGCAATACAAAGAGCGAATGGGCTGTGGGTGGATGATAGAGCCATAAAGGTTAAGGAAGCTAATTTTAACAGTGACAAACGCAGAATGGTGAATCAGAATACTATTGGAGTCACGAAAACAACCAAACAAAACGTTGCTTTTGAGGGTGGAAATGTACAAAATAACAAAGGAATAAGGAAAACGTTTGCAAAAGTTCTTACTGGTAAAAGGAAGGTGGGTCAATCAAGGTTAGTGGTGAAAACTCGGGAGGTGGGAAATGCATGGCTGTACGAGAGTGTGATTATTAGATTACACCATCATGTTACAAAGGCCGATTTCAAACATGAATCTCGGAGTAGGGGAGTGAGGAAAGGAAGAATTAAAGATGGGGGAGGTAGGGATATTGTTATCACTTTTAGCTCAACCGATGAGAAAGCAGAGGGTGTAGGATTAATGCAAGGTTGAATAGATGAGTGGGGTGAGTTTGTTTTGGATTGGAAAGCTGGAATGCATATTGAGCAAGAGAGATGTACTTGGCTCTCATGCTATGGAGTTCCTTTGAACCTGTGGAGTGCAGGAACTTTTACTTCTATTGGAAGGTTATGGGGGGAAGTGGTTGGGCTAGATGAAGATATTGGAGACCCAATGTCGTTCGTCTGCAGCAAGGTTAGGATTGTCACAAAATGTATGGAGGCTATAAATGTGGTGATCAGTCTGGAATCCAGCAGCGGTGTGTACCCAGTGCGAATTTGTGAAGAGCAATTGGTGTTCTCTAGATGCATGAATTTGGATAGTCATACTTCTGATGGGTTACATAGCTCTGGTGGGAATAGTGATGGAGTTTCAGTCTTCGGCCATGGCCAGGCTGAAGGTGAAGCTGAGGTGGCACCAAATCTGGAGGATGTCGTGGTCAAACTAGCTGATGTGGACAAGGCTCAACGGGTTAGTTTAAGTGAAGTTGCAAGTGGAGGAAGTTTGAGCTGGCAGAATGCATCGGTTGTAGCTGAGACTGTGGAAAGCTTTGGAAATTCAAATTCAAATGAAGGCTCTGATAAGATGGTTGTATCAGAATCGACATCTGCGCAGAAGTGCCATGATGATATTGGTGTGAGGCTCGATAGGCAGTTGGATGGTCATGTGATTACATTTGGCTTTATAAAGAGCTTGAGTGGACCGGATAAGAGTTGGCCTGAAGTCCATTTAGAGGTGCGTTTCTCCCAGGCCCATTTGGGAGAATTGGTGCTTGGTGGGCCGATAGGGCCATACTCCAGTCAAGGAATTGGGTCTGGTTTAGTGGGTCAGAATTTTAGCCATACAAAGGCATTGGCCCATGAAGGAAGCCGAAAGGAGATAGATATGGGAACTACAAAACAAATTCTGAAAGCTGCTTCCTCAGCTTGTAAGAAGGCTCGACAAAGGAATAGATGTTCGAAGCTGTCAATTTCTTCAAGGAGAAGAGGGCAAAGTGAGGCAGTAGCAAGAAGAAATTCCCAAAAAGAGGCTCTGCTCAGATCGGCTTCAGCAGCTCTATCCAGATCTCTAGCAAACCGAGGTAACAACAGGTCTTGAGGTGATGCTCTGATTTTAAATGAAGCTCAGGCAACCCTGTGCATGGGTAAATTACTTGGGGTGGAGTTTGGGCAAGATGAAGCAAGCATTGTCAATCGCATTTTGCAGCTTGAACAGCAGGACAAAGAAAAAGTGGGGGTTAGAATTGGTTCACCTGGGTAAACCAGTCCGTAGGTGCGCCCAAGTGTGGTTAACGGTTTAAATGAAGATATTATCGTAGAATATTAGAGGGCTGGGTCGGCCAGAAAAGAGGGGCAAAATTAAGAAATTAGTAAAGGAAAGGAAAATTGGGATGCTTTTCTTGCAAGAATCAAAGAGATCGGTGTTATCAGAATGGGATATTCGATCTATCTGGAGATGTGCTCGGTTTGAATATATGGAGGTTGGATCACAAGGAAGTGCGGGTGGCATAATTTGTGTCTAGGATCCTGAATTTTTTCAACTACAGGAGTGCTGTGGTAGTAGGAATTTCATTCTTCTGAAAGGTACTATCTATCATTCCTTCAATTGTGTTTTGATGAATGTGTATGCTCCTACTGATATTAGTACGATGGGGAGGTTGCGGGAAATTATTAAACAGCTTAGAAGCAATTTTCCTAGCCCTTGGTGTCTAGGGGGGGATTTTAACGAAATTAGACTGGTTAGTGAGCATATAGGTGTGTCAAGAAGGGATAGGAGAATGAGAGAGTTCAATGCATTTATTGACTCTTGTGAGCTCACAGATATACCAATGATTGGAAGAAAATTTACATGGTGTAATTCTCAGGAGAGTGCGATATGGAGTAGAATTGATAGGTTTCTGTTGGACCCAGAATGGATTGAAAGTTTCAATATCAAATTGTGGGGACTGCCTAAAATTGTATCTGATCATTGCCCAATTTTGCTTATGGAGGAGAGAGTTCAATGCATTTATTGACTCTTGTGAGCTCACAGATATACCAATGATTGGAAGAAAATTTACATGGTATAATTCTCAAGAGGGTGCGATATGGAGTAGAATTGATAGGTTTCTGTTGGACCCAGAATGGATTGAAAGTTTCAATATCAAATTGTGGGGACTGCCTAAAATTGTATCTGATCATTGCCCAATTTTGCTTATGGAGAATGAAAGGGATTGGGGCCCTAAACCATTCAGATTTTTAAATGCCTGGATTATTCATCCTTCATTCTCTAAAGTGGTAAGGGAGGCATGGGAAGAGTCACAAATCGCTGGGTGGGATGGTTTTATAATGCTTAAAAAACTCCAACATGTTAAACAAGTTTTGAAGAGATGGAATAGTGAAGTGTTTGGAGCAATATCTGTGAAGATACAGCAGGCCGAGGAGAGATTACATGAATTTGATTTGTTAACCGAAACCAGAGAGCTATCTAATGTGGAGAAATTGAGTAGAAGGGAACTTAGAGATGATGTGTGGAAATTAAGTAAGATGCAAGAATGGAATTGGCTTCAAAAATCAAGGCTAAATTGGGCACTCAAAGTGGATAAAAATACCAGATTTTTCCATGTCATGGCAAGTTGTAGGCAAAATAGAAATGCAATTGGTTCTCTGAACTTTGATGGAATTGTATATGATGAGCCAGTCTGAGTTAAACATGAAGTGTTTCAATTTTTCAAAGCTCATTTCACGGAAGTGTGGAGTTCAAGGCCAAAACTGGTGGGTAGTTTTAAATCTATTGGCAGTACAGCAGCAGTGGAGTACATAGAGGCAGAATTTTCTAAGGCAGAAATTTGGCCAGTAGTGAGAAGTTGTGATGGTAATAAAGCTCCGGGGCCAGATGGATTTAATATGTTGTTTTTTCAGAAATGTTGGAAGGTTGTGAAGAAAGAGGTTATCCAGTTTATGCAAGACTTTCATCGGTATGGTAAATTGGTGGGTGGGATTAACAGTTCTTTCATTACTTTAGTGCCTAAGAAGGACAATCCTATTAGTCTTGGGGATTACCGACCAATAAGTTTAATCGGGTCTGTGTATAAGATTCTTTCTAAGGTCTTGGCTAACCGACTAAAGATGGTAATGCCTAGAATTATTAGTGAAGAGCAGTCAGCGTTTGTGGGTGGTAAAAGTATCCTAGATGGGATTTTAATTGCAAATGAAATTGTTGACTGGTGGAAGAAAATCAAAAGGCGTGGGATTATTCTGAAACTTGATTTCGAAAAGGCTTATGACTCTGTCAATTGGTCTTTTCTGCTATCTATGATGGAGAATTTTGGTTTTGGAGCAAAGTGGAGGACTTGGGTGCAGGAGTGTATATCAAATACTCGAGTCTCAGTTCTTGTGAATGGTTCCCCTACATCGGAGTTTAGCCCATCTCGAGGCCTTAGGCAAGGCGATCCTCTCTCCCCTTTCCTTTTCAATATGGTAGCTGAGGGCCTCAACATCTTGTTGACCAGGGCTAGGGAGTTAAATCTATTCAGGGGTGCTGTTCTTGGGGCTAACGAAATTTCAGTGTCCTATCTCCAATTTGAGGATGATTCTATTATCTTTTGTGAGGCATAATGGGGGGAAGTGGTGAATATTAAGAGGATTCTTAGATGCTTCGAATTGATGTCTGGGCTCTGGATTAATTATCACAAGAGTGTGATTTCTGGCATTGGAGTTCAAGATGCCTGGTTGGATGAAATTGCGGGTAGGCTTAATTGTAAGTGTCAAAAGCTTCCATTTAAGTACCTTGGGATGCCTCTTGGGGCTAATCTAGGAGGGTTGAAGACTTGGAAGCCTGTTGTGGATCGAGTCAAAGTCAAGTTGGCCAGCTGGAAAAGAAGGTTCTTATCCCTTGCAGGAAGACTAACTCTTATCAAAACAGTTTTATCTAGCCTCCCAGTATATTATCTCTTATTATTTAAGATGCCTGAAGGAGTTGCTAAAGAGTTAGACAAAATTCAAGCCGCTTTTCTATGGGGTGGATCCGTGATTAAGAGCAAGATACACATGGTTAAATGGTCTAAAGTTACTAAAAGTATTATTAAAGGAGGTTAGGCATCGAGAGTCTTAGGGATGTTAACGCCTGCTTGCAACTTAAGTGGTGGTGGAGGTTTGGCGGTGATGAGAATCTGTTGTGGAAGAAAGTTTTATGTGGGAAATATGACATTCATGGTAGCAAGTGGTATCCAAATACGGAAGCCTCCCAGATGCATTCCCAGCTATGAAAGGATATTCTCTCACTGGCAACTTCCACCCTTGCCTTGCACAGTTTCTATATCAGCAATACTTTCATATTGGTGGGTAATGGGGAAAGAACTCTGTTTTGGGAGGATAAGTGGGCTGGTGTTACATGTTTAAAAGATGATTTTCCTCGACTATATCGTATCTCTCCTGATAAGCTGAAAACAATTAAGCAGGTGATTGAATTAAGAAGGAGCCTACATGACTGGGAGGAATGCTTCAATAGAATACTCCGAGATTGGGAAAAGGAAGAGGTGGTTCGTTTGGTTAATTTGGTAAATAACACTCCGGAGTTAAGAGCTGATAAGGTTGATGCGTTCTGTTGGGGGGCTGAAAACTCGGGCTGCTTCAGCGTATCATCTGCCTATAGGTGGTGTGAAAACAGTCTACAATCTCCGGATTTTGGTACAATCTCCAAGATGATTTGGCAGAGTGTCTCTACTCCTAGAGCAAAAGCTTTTGTGTGGTTAGCTTGGAGGCAAAGGTTAAAAATGTCCTCTTACCTACAGCGGATTGGTGTCATTCCAGCTGCTCCATACACGTGTATGGAGGGGAACAAAATGTCATACAGCTGTATTAAAATATCTGCAAAAGCAGATGAACAGTAGTCGACTGCTCAAAAATGCCATTTTGACAAAATTGAATGCCGACCGGCAACAAAGAATGTCGACCGGCAATATACATTGTCGATGGCAACAAAACACCAGCCGGTGGCCTCTGGCCATGGCCGGTGATGTGTGGGGATGCCTCACAAGGTATTCCCTGCCCCTCCAAGGCAAAACACAAGTGTTTGGTGCAAAACCAGACACTAAACAGTCGAGTTCGGAGATCCTGAGGCAAGGCGCGTAGCCAAGACCTCCGGGAACTCCAAACGAACACAAACATGGATGATCATCGGGTGTTCAAACGGTGACGTCCAAGTCTCGAGGACGGTAAAAAATGGGGTGTCTACCGTGCCTGTCCTACTTCTTGTTTTCTTTTCTTCTATGGTAGGTGCATTTTCCTGGTGCCTATTTTGGTGCTAATTTCTTTTCTTCTTCACAGAATCTGCTGCTGCTTTTTGAAACCCAGCCGTGCCTCTGCTATTTTTTCTTGGACTGTGCTGCTTCTGTTTTGGTTCTCTTTCTACTGTCTGCTGGTACATACTGCTGCCTTGGACTCTGTTTTGGTTCATGCTGCTGCAACCACTTGGGTGACTCTTGCTGGTGTCTCCTCTGGTTTATGCTGCTATTCTCCTCTAGTTCCTGTTGGTTTTCCTCTTGTTCGTTTCTCACCAACAGTTGTATTACTAGCGGTTGTTCGGGCTAGCTCATTGGAGCCAATTTTGTTTGGTTTCAATTGCTATGCTACTGATGTATTTGTGTTCAATATATATATTCTCTCTTTTGTTTGCTGATCAAAAAAATATATATATATTATATGTGAATGTATACAACGCATAATGAAATGGTCGTAAGAAAGCAGAGAAATAGTAGAAACATGGAGTGAGAGAGTAGAAGTGGATCTCAATGAGTGTAGGTGTCATTTGAACTTGAACCTACACTTAGTGTTGGCAAGTTTCAGTCAGAAGAAACCGTAGAAAATAAAGTCTTGAACTAGGCCCTTGAGTTGAATCATACACTCATCAAACATAGTACAGAAAACTATAACAATTTTGGAATGGTCTAGCACGTTATACAGTCATACAAACCTATCTTGTTTTTACAAGTGTTTTTAAGGAGTAGTCCAATTTCTCACAACAGCAATCCCACTACCACATTCATATAAATGTATCCTCTAACGGTGATCTGTGACCAATATCTTTTAGAAATCCTACCCTGAACACATTCAAAGCTAAACTCTTTTAAAATTTGTCACATTACTAATAAGCACTATTACCATAGGGAATAAGATCAAAGAATTTCCATCTAATAATTTTAGTGCTCCTCTCAGCTACTCTATAGCTTCGTTTTTACTTATTGAACCTTATTCATTGGATTGCCAATCACAAAGGTTAGGTGTCCACCACAGAGACTAACTCATGGACTTCAGTCCTATTCCCCTTGATGATTTAAAAATTAACACGGCACATTATTTTTTGTTTAATAAAAGAATATGTTATGACCCCACATTTATTAAATTTTCTAAAGACTTCCAATATTGCGCCATAGAAACATTGATAACATGAACCTGAAAATTTTCAAAACAAAATGTTAGTGGTCTTTATCAATAATTATGAGGTCTAACCAATATATTTTTGAAGAAAATTAAACACCCACATATGTTATCTTTCTTAAAAATAACTAGCGTGAAGTAAATTATTCACTACATTAAAATTTTCATCCAATACTAGACTTAAATTAATGGCAATGCTAACAACAAAATAAATTATGAATTTATACCAACATGCTCATGCATTTACAAAGACAAACAAAAAAATTTTACATACTTATGTTACCCCTAATGAATTATGTATTAGTATATACGTTCTGAAACATGGTACACTTTGGTTTCAAAATGGTAAATTTAGTGATCCAGAAGCTTTCATAACATCAATATTCACTCCTGATAGCAGCTCCAATAGGCTGCTATTTGAGCTACCATAGCTATACTAGCCTTGGTGTTTTAATGAAGCTGCCATTGAAGTTGCCAAATTTTGGCATTGCTATCTTTGATGCCAGATTTGGCACAAGTAATGACAAATTGCCAAATTTTGATATTGTATTTTATAGAAATCCTATTGTGGTAAAAAAAAAGGGGGTAAGATGACGATTATGCCAAAAAAATAACGCAAGTATTGGAGCAATATTGTCAAATTTTACATTTTGTATTATAGCCAAAATTTGGTAGTAAAATGTCAAATTTTCCGAATTTGGCATCAAGAAAATTTCATTTTTACCCCTATACTTTGCCTCAATTTTCAATTACATCCCCAGACTTCGAATAATTTCAATTTTACCCTCAAAGTTTTTTGAAATCGTATCACTAAACCCCTATCGTCACATTTGAAACCGAAAACGTTAAAAAAAATTATATTTTGACCCCAAATTTTAAAAGAAAGATGCAAACTCACCCTCTCCTACTCAAACTCACTCTCTTTCCTCACCACCACTTCAAGCCCTTCTATCTCCTTCTTTCGCCTCATTTTTACGTCTTTGAATTCACCTCATCACCCAGTTTTCGTATCACTTCTCACACGTCTTGTTCTTCCTCTTTTTGCATCTAGTAGGGGCTCTGAAAGTTGATAAAAATAAATAAATAAATAAATAAGGCTTCTCTTTTCATTTCTGACTTTTCTTTGAGCCATCTTTCAAACTTCATATCTTTCTCAATTCTTGACGGTTCTACTTCATTCTTTCACCATTCTCTCCACCTCACTTTCTATTTCGTCCTACACCACCTCGTTTTCTCACTTCTTCATGTAATAAGCAGATTCAGTATGCCAAAATTTGTTCAAAAACTAACTTCAAAAATTTCGAAACATTCATCTTTTGTTTCTTTCTCCTCTATCTTCCTCATTCTTCTTCTTCTTCACTTAGAACATGGTGCAGAGCATGGTTCTAGGTGGTAACGAAGCTAGTGATAGTGGTGGTAGTGGTGTCGGCGGTCTACCGATGGTGGCAGAGCTCGCAGTGATGGTGGTCGTAATTAATTTCAATAGAATTGATCGACTAATATTAATTTCAAAATTGAATGGATAAAAATTTAGACCACACTTATTATGAGAGTAATATCTTTTGAAATTTGAATATATATATTGAACGATAAAAATAAATAAATATGTTGAAATTTGCCTACAAAATTGAGATTAGCTACTCGGTTGTACCATCGATTTAATGATAATTTAATTTAAAAGTTAGCAATTACTGTCTAAAGGATACTCAACAGGACTAATACACATTTTTTTTTAGAGAAAATTCATTTTTACCCCTATACTTTGCCTTAATTTTCAATTACATCCCTAGACTTCGAATAATTTCAATTTTACCCTCAAAGTTTTTGAAATCGTATCACTAAACCCCTATCGTCACATTTGAAACGGAAAACATTAAAAAAAATTATATTTTGACCTCAAATTTTAAAAGAAAGATGCAAACTCACCCTCTCCTACTCAAACTCACTCTCTTTCCTTACCACCACTTCAAGCCCTTCTATCTCCTTCTTTCGCCTCATTTTTACGTCTTTGAATTCACCTCATGACCCAGTTTTCGTATCACTTCTCACACGTCTCGTTCTTTCTCTTTTTGCATCCAGTAGGGGCTCTGAAAGTTGATAAAAATAAATAAATAAATAAATAAGACTTCTCTTTTCATTTCTGACTTTTCTTTGAGTCATCTTTCAGACTTCATATCTTTCTCAATTCTTGACGGTTCTACTTTATTCTTTCACCATTCTCTTCACCTCACTTTCTACTTCGTCCTACGCCACCTCGTTTTCTCACTTCTTCGTGTAATAAGCAGTTTCGGTATGCCAAAATTTGTTCAAAAACTAACTTCAAAAATTTCGAAACATTCATCTTTTGTTTCTTTCTCCTCCATCTTCCTCATTCTTCTTCTTCTTCACTTATAACATGATGTAGAGCATGGTTCTAGGTGGTAACGAAGCTAGTGATAGTGGTGATAGTGGTGTTGGCAGTCTACCGATGGTGGCAGAGCTCGCAGTGATGGTGGTCGTAGAGCTTGATGGTAGTGGTAACGGAACTTGGTTCGGAAGGAAGTGGGTTTGGTGTTGAAAGGTGGTGGTGGTGGTGGTGATGGTAATGGTGATGTGCATCGTGGTGGTAATGGAGTTCGGTGGTGGTAAAGTTGGTGGTTCGGGTGGTGATGTTGGTGAAGTTGATGAAGGTGACGAACTTGATGAAGAGATGATAAGTATATACATATAGATAGATAATTGATACGGGTTTGAAAGAATATTGAGTGAGTGAATTTGGGTTTAGGAGAAGTTGGGTTGGAGAATTGAGTGATTGCGGTGGTGGTTGGTGGTGGCAGTAGTGCTTGCAAGGGCGAAGGAGATGGACAAATTGGAAGAAGATGAGAGGTGGTGAGTTTGGGTATGAGAGTGTGAATTTGCATATTTCTTTTAAAATTTGAGGTCAAAATGTAATTTTTTTTAACATTTTTTGTTTCAAATGTGGCAGTAGTAACAGTAAAAATGATACAATTTTAAAAACTTTCAATGTGAAATTAAAAAATTATACAAAATCTAGAGTTATAATTGAAAATTGAGGTAAAATATAGAAGTAAAAATGAAATTTTCTCCTTGACATCTAACATTGATGATGTTTTGAAAGGACACATCTAAACCAGAGATTCCTTGATGATTCTTTCCAAATCTAATTTAAAAGTAGCATTCTAATAATACCCTTTATCGAAGTCCCAAGATAAAGAGAGGGAAGGAGACAGTCGCTTGGAAATTAGATTTTAACAAGGCGTACGATCGGGTGCAATGGGATTTCCTGGAAGAAACTCTTCTTCGAATGGGTTTTCATGCTAGGTGGGTTCGTTTGGTCATGGAATGTGTCACTTCTGTAAAATTCTCTATCTATGCCAATGGAGAGAAACGTACAGAGTTTACCCCATCTTGTGGACTCCGCCAAGGTGATCCTCTTTCTCTGTATTTATTTCTTTTGGTGGCTGATGTACTCTCGAACCTTCTTACTCACAGGTTGAACTCGAACTCCATCTTAGGACTCAAAATGCGCCGAACTTGCCCTACGCTCTCTCATTCTTTCTTTGCAGACGATGCTATTCTCCTCTTCAAAGCTGAAGCATTGGAATGTGAGTCCATTCTGAAAGTTCTGAAGGTGTATAGTGATGCTTCTGGACAACTTCTCAATTTTGACAAATCTGGTCCTTTATTTTCAGCTAACTCCTCTACTAGTCTATCCAATTCTATTTGTCATCTATTGGGTGTCACAAAAGCCAACCCCAAAGCTCAATATCTAGGCCTACCAGCTTCTTGGGGAAAGTCGAAAAGTGAGGCTTATGGGTTCTTATTAGAGAAAGTGCTAGCCTAGATGCAGGGGTGGAAATCAAAGTTATTATCCCAAGCAGGAAGAGAGATTCTCATCAAATCAGTCGTTCAAGCCATACCAACTTATGCAATGGCTTGTTTTGATTTACCCAAAGCCTTTCAATCCAAATTCAATACACTGATTTGCAATTTTTGATGGAAAGGAGACCTAGACAGCAGGGGAATTCATTGGGCCAATTGGAATCACATGACCAAACCCAAAGTTATAGAAGGAATGGGTTTTCGGGATTTTGAAGAATTTAATCAGGCTTTGCTTGCAAAACAAAGCTGGAGACTTCTCTCATATCCTCAGACGTTTCTGGCCAGGAAGTATAAAGGACTTTATTACCCCAACTCGACCTTCATGATGGCCACAAAAGGAGCTAATGCTTCATGGGCTTGGAGCAGCCTCCTTAAAGGCGGAGCTCTACTCCAAGAAGGAACTCGTTAGCAAATTCAATATGGTAAGCAAGTCTACTTTTGGACAGATCGGTGGATCCCATCTCTTGCGAGTCACAGAATTGCTTCTCCAAAGCCAATTGACTGCAATATTATCAATGTGGCCGATATCATTGACCCAACTTTTAAAACTTGGAATTTAGATACTCTGGGTGATACTATTTCTGATGAGGAAAGGGTAGCCATCCAAGCCATTCCTACTGCAGTGGAAGATAGAGACGATAGCCTGGTTTGGCATCATACCAATTCGGGGATTTACTCGGTAAAGTCTGGGTATGCTCTGGCCAAAACTATCAATGGTAAATCTGAGTTCGTGATCCTTCTTCTTCTACGGCCACTGTGGACAGTTTGTGGAAATCAGTGTGGCAAATAGATACCCCGCCCAAGATCCGTCACTTTTGGTGAAGAGCTTGTAACAACGCATTAGTAACCAAGGCGGGCCTCTATAAACGCAAATGTAGTGCTTCAATGCTTTGTCCCATATGCCAATCCGAGATTGGAACTGTGGAACATCTACTTTTTGACTGCCCTTGGACTAAAGCTGTTTGGTTTGGAAATGCTATCAATTTAAGAGTGGTGAAAGGATCCATCCCTAATGTGGCTTCATGGACAAATGATTTAATTGTGTCAGGTCTGCCCAAAGATGTAACAATGCAACTTCTCAGCAGAGTGGCTACCATAGGTTGGTATATTTGGAAATCTCGGAATGAATTCATCTTCAACCATATCCCTGTGGATCCCTCAGCTACCCTCCAGTGTATTGCTCATGAATGGGCCGAACGAGATCTTCTGGTTCGGCTTTCTCAAAATTCAGTCTCGCCTCTTGAATCCCCATCGCCCGAGCCGCCTTCGGCTTGGTCCCCAGCTGCTTATGGCTGTTTTAAAATTAATTGTGATGCCGCATTTTGCCATAGGGCCTCCAAGGCTGCTCTTGCAGCTAAGGCTGTGCAGCGGATCCACCGACCCTCTCGACCTGACTCAAACACAAATGGATAGATGTGTGGTAAGTGGCAGACGGGTGCGGGCCAGGATTTTGTGTTATTTCGGGGTCGGGTTAGGTGACGGGTCACCCGCCATTTTACCTAGCTAACCCAACCCGACCATGCCACGTTATTATTATTATTTTTTTTTTTGTTTTACACCAGCAGCAACCCCTTTTGTTTCTGATTTGCCTCATTTTGCCCTAATTTCTTCGGTGGAAAACACAACACACAGAGACAGACACTCTCTCTCTCTCTCCCCTACCCATCGTCATCGTTCGACGATCTACACCGAACGCCGATCGATCTACACTAAACGGCAATATACACTGAGGTATCTCTCTCTCTCTTCTTCTTCTTCCCTTTTTTTCTCTTCTCTTCTCTTTTTCTTTTCTTCTCTTCTTCTCCCCATTTTCTGGGTTTTTGATTTTTTCACCTTTCCCCTTCCGACTGTTCTTATGATGGTTCTTAAATTTGGGTTTTCTAGATTACAACACAGCCGATTCGGAGAGCTTGAAAGCTGCAAAGGTTATATTGTCTCCATTTGACCTTCTTGCCAAGTTAGTTTTGTAGATTACCTAATTATTCATGCTTCTCTATTTAGGAACTTTGTTTGTTTGTTGTTTTCTTTATTGTAAGGGACAACTATATCCATGTAGCACCAATGCTACACATTCGGAAAATATAATGTGCCTAGATTTACTCTGGATTTACTCTAGAAAATATAATGCTACACACTCTGTATTTTTCTAAATTTATTTTGTATGTAACTTATATAATACTATACCTAGAAATTAAAGTGTTCTGAAAAATAAAATGTGTGGCTAAATCATTTTGGACATGAATCATATCATACTTAATTGAGTAATAATATATACTTAAAAAATCTATACAGAATAATATGATAGATTTGTCTCATTTCATTTTAAATCAAAGAAACGCATCAAAGTGAATTGTTATTTTCAAAATGCCACAGTCACATAATTTTGATATATATAATTTAAAGATATACAATACACTATATTTTTCTAAATATTTTCGTAACTTTGAATGATTGAATGATTTTTAATTTAGGGTTGAATGATTGAATGATCATCAAATATATATAATTTAGGGTTTTTAAAATTGAGATTTTACTTCGATCCAGTGTCTGATTATATATATATATATATATATTGTGATTATTGAATAAAGAAATGCCTTTTTTTAAGTTAAATTCTTTGTATTATCTCTTAGGTTATCAAACATAGTGTGAAGTACAGAAAAAATTGGAACTATTAGAAGGGAAATTGATATGATGGCTGATTAAACTTTGGTGCTTCATGTTTTAGATAAATGTAGAACTATACACTGAGCTAAATTGGTAAGATTCAGGGTTAGGGGTTTCTGAAAAAATTGTAGTTCTTTCTAATAGCTTTGAAATATTATTTTAAAACTTGGGTACTGGAGAAGCCATCTGCGATTGTAGTCTATTGGCAATAATCAAGATAGTGAATCCAGTCAAAGTTAAATCAGATAAGTTTTTGGTAGAGCAAACTTTTATGCTTGTTATAAGAGGATGGTGACTATGTTCTTGGTTTTTGATGCCCAGTTTGCAGTGTCCAAGTTGATTAATAGATGTGAATGAATAAATATTACATTGCCTAGGGGTTTTTTTTATGTTGAAAATTTGTAAAATTTCAAACCGCCAAACCGATTCGCATCCATCCGTCAATCCGCCAAATCCGCATCCGCCGGATTGGCGGACGTATGCGGATTGATTTTCTCCAATCCACCAATTTGGCAGACGGATGGCGGATTGGAGGTTTCATGGCCGCAACCAATCCGCGCCCACCCCTAGTATTAAGACTGGAAAGGCTATTAAGTTAGTCAAAAATGATAGCATGGGGGTTAGGGCCACCTGTATGCCACCATGTGAGTGGATGCTTTATGCATCCAAGATGCAAGGACAACCATCATTCCAGATAAAGACATATGTCCCCACTCACAATTGTGGCAAAATTTTTTATAACAGTCAAGTGAATTCTACATGGCTGTCTAAAAAGTACTTGGAGACATTGAAGTCCAATCCATCTATTCCAGTGCAGTCATTCAAGCAAGCTGTGCAAAAGGAGCACAAGGTTAGGATATCTAGGGGCCGAGTGTATAGGACAAAGAGAAAGCACAAGAATTGATAGAGGGAAACCTCATTGAACAATATGCCAAGTTATGGGATTACTGTGAAGAGATAAAAAGAACTAATCCAGGGATAACTATCATAGTCAAGGAAGATGATGAAGATGCAGAAAATGAAGAACATGAAATAGATGAAGCCAAGCCTAGGTTTCAAAGGATTTTTGTATGCTTTGGAGGTTTCAAACAAGGTTTTCTGGTAGGATGTAGGCCATTCATTGGGGTTGATGCCTGCCATTTGAAAGGGCCATACAAGGGACAACTGTTGCAAGCTGTTGGTTTGGATGGGAATAACAATAGCTATCCATTGGCATTTGCAGTTGTTGAAGGAGAAACAAAGAGTTCATGGAAATGGTTTTTTGAAATATTGTGTGACACTATTGGGTGGTTCCACAAGCAAGGAGTGACCTTCATGTCAGACAAGCAAAATGAAAATGCTTATTGGAAGTTTCATGCATTTATTTTTAGTGTTTATTTCATTTAATGTGTGTAACTTTTTTTTCCTCCCTTACAAATGCAAGGATTGTGTCCAGCACTTATAAAGGTTGCACCCATGGCAGAACATAGGTTCTGCATTAGACATCTTTTCACCAATTTTAGAGATAGCTTTAAGGGGGTGCACTTGAAGGACATTGTGTACAAAGCTGCAAATGCTTCTTACGTACAAGCATTTCAAGCTCATATGGAAGAGTTGAAGGAAACTAATGAAGATACATTCAATTGGTTAGTTGAAAAACCCCCAAGCACCTGGTCTAGATCTCATTTCACACCTACAGTTAAGTCTAATATGTTAGACAACAACATGTGTGAGAGCTTTAATAGCTTGATCCTAGAAGCTAGAGGAAAAACCATAATCCCTTTGTTAGACGACATTTGGTGTATCTTGATGAAGAGGCTGTAGGTGAGAAGGGAAGTAATGAGGGCTTACCCGAGACTTATTTGTCCTAACATGCAACAAGCATTAGAGAAAAGGAAAGAAGATACAAGCAATTGTATTGCTATGTGGGTAGGAGGTCTGAGGTACCAACTCAATTGTTTCAATGGCCAACAATTTATAGTTGATTTGGGTGATTCAACCTGTTCATGCAAAAAGTGGGATCTAACTGGCATACCATGTTGTCATGTCATTTCAGCCATAGACGACAAACATCAGCAACCTGAAGATTATGTCGCTCATTGGTATAAGAATGAGACATACTTGGCTAGCTATAAGCCAATGATATATCCAATAAATGGTTTTGAAATGTGGCCAAAATCTGTGTTGCCTGGATTATTGCCTCCAAAAGTAAAGAACAACTTGGTAGGCTAAGAAAGTTGAGAAAAAGGCAAGCAGATGAGCCTAAGAATCCTTATAAGATGCACAGAGGAAACACAACAACTACGTGCAGCTTGTGTGGTAAGCTTAGGCACAACAAAAGAGGATGCAAACGCTAGCCTATTGCACCAAAGGTTACCCTACACAATTTGTTACATCTTCATAAATTCAATTCATTTATTATGTGTCCTTCATACAATTAATTACTGACAATTTGCAGGTGACAAACAACCAATCAAGCACCCAGAGAAGCAGTCAGCCACCTACTTAACCCAGTAGTCAACCAAGAGACCAAGCAATCACTGAAGCCACTAGTCAACAAGGCAGTAAGGTAAGCATTTCAGTAAGGCCTAAAGCAAGTGGTAATCAACCAAGCTTCAACTTCAGAATAGCATTGCAAGGGGTGAACATTAGGGGACCTCCACTAGGTTTCATTAGAACAAGCACATTTATTGAGCTAAACACATCTACAGGTCCATATGGGGGTTCAACAACATATGTGCCAAAGGGGTAGAAGGTTGTGACCTTGTCTTCACTACCAAAACATGGAAACAATTAAATGTTGAAGAAGTAGTTACCTGATAGTAGACAACAGTTTTTTTTTGTGAAATCTTATACACTATGTTTTGTTGTATTTGGGCTTTTTACGTATTGTTGGAACATGGTAATGTTTTGTAGGATTTGCCATTTTGGACCATGTTTGAAGTATTTGTTAATCAAAGTAATGCTTTGTTGGATTTGACAACTAATTGGCCTCTTTGTGTTATTTGAAGTATTTGTTTTTTGTATTGGAACATGTTTGGACCATGTTTTTTTTTTTTGGTTTGTATCAACCATGTCTACAATGTTTATTTCTATGTTTTGTTATAGGTTGCATCATGTTTGCTAAAAGTGAAACAAACCAATGCAAAAAAGGTTAACAAACCAATGCACCATGAGACAATGTGATTGAAAAAAATGATAAACAAAAATAGTTCATTCAACATTCATTTCAAAATTCAACATTGACTCAAAAGTTGATAAACAAATGTTTATTAAAAAACATTACTACAGCTTCATTCCACATTGATATAGTGTCATTCAAAACATGTCTAGACATAACAAAATCAAACCCTAAAATCCATTCCCAGTAGTCCACAAGCATTAATTACAGGAAAAAAAAAAAAACCCTTCATTTCTACTCCATTCCCAGTCCAGAAGCTTTAAAACAAAAAAATTTGCAAATTATTTTTTTTTAAAAAAAAAAACCCACTTCATTCCTAGTCCAGAAGCTTCAATTTCCATCATTCCCAGTGCTTGAAAGAGAAGCAACTGCAGAACCATCTCCAATCATGTTCCAACACCAAAAAATGAGCCATGACAATGCCATCAAAGTAATCAACTTCCTCTGTCTTACTCTGTGCATCAAAAGCAGGTAAAAATAGAACTTTTCTTAGTTTATAGCTAAGCTTAAAAATGGATGCAAGATAGTTTAAAAGCCTATGCAAAAATGGGAAATAAAGGGAATAGTTCTCACCCTTGTAGACCTC